TTTTTTTGGTACTCGAATTATTATTGTCAAATGACTAGTCTTTTAATGTTGAAATGTTGTCATGCTACGAAACCAATATTGTCTATAAGTCTTCCTAAATTTTGTTTGTAACACGACTACGTAGCTGACGTTGTATCTTAGCTTTTTGTATGTAATTATCGTTTCAGTTCGAACCTACACGACTCTATTCGACACTAAACTACCCTATATTTCTACTCTACTTCGTTTTATTCTCCGCGACCACGAACTTTGCTACCGTGACTTTCACGATCTGTCATCATCGTCGCAACCAGTGTAATTCGTCTATCTTGAACTGTGATTAAACGTGTGTTAGTCATTCTACGAGTTGAGTTCGAATTGTCTATCGCCTCGCGCATTGCTACCCCTGTAATTGTTGAGTTTCTAAGTACGCGCAACCTTAGGATCTTGGCAGTTATAATTGCTTCAGAGAGACGTATGAATTGTTCACCGAATAAGGCTCTAGAAGGCAAGTCATTTTCCACTTAGTACTGGAGATGGCAACATAGATTTCTCCTCGACGCCATTGTTCAATCTGGAAGACCTGGTCTTTTCATAATGATTTCACCTTACAAATGGACGTTTCCTTTTCCTCATTGGTTACACACTGCGCCAAAAAACGGCAAATGGTCCCACGTGTGCGGTGCACTTCGAAACGATGCACATTGTCCAGGTTTTGGAACAAATTGTTCGAGGCTACTCGTGCAGGTCCAATACCAAGACTTGGTCCAATCATGTATTCAATTACAATCTGAAGAAGAATGAAACGAACATGAAAACCTACTTCTATCAATTTGAGTTTCAAGATAGAAGCACAGTGAATCTGCACATGTTCGTTTGGTTTAATAATTTTAACAAGATGAAATTAGAAGCAATTCATGCTGATGTTTTGTGGAGTGAACATGAGTTAGCTCAACGCGTTTTAGACCTCCAGCCGAGCCACCAAACTGGCCAAAACAATTTGAGCAGAAAACAACTGTTTTGGAAAGCGATGGAGGACAAATCCTTTCACTATTTCATCCCGAAGAGGCTTTTGCTAGAAACTTGCAGGCTTACAACGGTATTGCCTGCCCTCAAATGTTGAATGGATGTTCAAACATCCGACAGAGACGGTATATTGCTGAAATGTGCAGCCAGCTATGTTTCCAAATGGCATGATGCATTTTAATTCAGATGCTATGTTTCCAGTTAGGGTAGGTCCTTATGAAGGCGCGCATCCTCATTTACGCGGTCTTCGTCCACGAGAACCAGAAATGTGGATGTCTGAGTTCGAAAAAGATCGTTTGGTCTCAAAGCAAGATAACGCTAGTTCACTTTGACTGGCAAATGTTGAAAAGAAACCACTCAATCATGTGACAAATTTTCTGTTTATTTTAAGGGCCTAAAGATTGTGAAAAGGAGGCCTTTGATATATCCTTCAACACAGAGGATAACAGTACACAAGGTAGGTTTTCCAGAATTAAAAGAAGACTAAAAAACAAACAAAATAGAATTTCAAGTTTATATTGAAAGGGCATCATTATCCCATAGACACTGAGAAGCCAGATACCACAGGACTGGAAAGGAGTAAGAATAGAAAGTGGAAACGGGAAAATGGTCACTCAGTGACATCAAAGAAAAGTAGAGGTATTTTGTTTTGCTTCTTTGTTCGATTAGTAATTGTACTGTAATTTCCGGCCCTTCACCCGCGGGTAATCAGTTAATTTGGCCTTAAACATGCGCCACTGCGGGTAATAGGGAGGTGCAGGTTATATGACATTTTTTAAATCAACTGGCAGTTGAAGAAGATTCTCACCTACCAGCGTTTCCACCTCTCAGATGAATTTTATTGTATTAAGAGTGCCACAAAGCGGCATGAAAACATGATGCCGACCTTTGTAACAAAGGATTATTTTCCACGCATTTCTCTCCAGTAGTTCACATTCAAATTTTGTTATTTTGGATTAGAATATTTACACAAATTCCCATTGAATTGCAAAGCACGGAATATAAGATAAAAAGAATGAATGATAAGTCATTATAACACATGAAACATGCTGGAATCAATTAAAATTGGTTCTCATTAACAAATTTCAGAAAATGCCTAATTAGGGGAAGAGATTTTTCTTCACGAATCAGTAGGAGGAAATGAGCAATCATTAGCGGTTTCTGTATGCAAAGGTTTAGCATTGTTGTTTCAGTATCTGTAACAATGATTATTACTGTGGGCATTGAAAGAGCCTGATTCCTAATCTGGTCACTTATCAGTCATTATTAGTCACCCTAAATAAATAAACTTTGTTTTGCATCCTTAAACAACAAACGTTTGGGATGTTTTCAACCAAAAAGTCAAAGTTCATTTCGCTTGAGTTGATGACCACAATGAGCGGGACGCTGGTTTCCTTGCTCACCAACAATGCATTACTATGTGGTATCCAAGCACGTGATTAAGTCCTGCAAAGAACCTATTGCCATGCATTCAGCTATGTGGAAGATGACACCTACCATAATTTCCGGCCGTTTACCAGCGGGTAATCTGTTGATTTTGCCTTAAACACGCGCCACGTTTGGTAATAGGGAGGTGTGGGTTATGTGACATTTTTTAAATCTACTGGTAGTTGAATTGAAAAAAATTCTCACCTCCCAGAGTTTCTAACTCTCAAATGAATTTTATTGTATTAAAACTGCCACAAAGCGGCACAAAACCACGATGCCGATTCCAGTTTATTTCACACACAATTAGTTACGCAACAAACAAATTTCATTGGCACGCATGTAAACAAAACCTTGATAGTTACAAAAATAATCCGAGGGTATCCAGCACATTAGTAACAAATTTACAGTTCACACTAGCCTGAGCTGAAGACAATTACCCCATTTTAAGGGGCTTGTAAAGCCTAATAAAACCGGAGATATCGATGTTTTTGAAAAATCAACAATTCAACATGGCGTTGAACGATCACTCGCTAAAATGTGGCACGAATTCGCATTCTGTCAAGATTGAAACGTTGTGAATTCTAGAGCCTTTTTGAACAAATTTTCTTTGTTTTTAAGGGTTATCCACCAATGCGGGTAATGTGTTGACTTTTTTTTTGCCATATGCAATAACCGGCCGGTGCGGGTAATCGGCCACGTGGGTAAACGGCCAGAAATTACGTTAGCTACTAATCTTAACACTCTTCATCTTTTTGTACCAGCAAACAAACCACCTACCGGAAGAAGAGACCTGGAAGATAACAGACCAAGACATTCAGACATGCTAAGTATCTGCGAACCTGTAAGGCCAACCTGTGT